CACGACTCGACACGGAATGCTCTTACCTTCCCATTGTGGTGGTACCTATTTATCTACTCGCATTTTTACATGCTTTCAAAGTGCTAGGTTGGCAGGAGCTGGGACAAGCGATGGGAGCTCACTCCGTCATGTGGATTCGATCTTACAACGGCTGGTCTTCTGTCCTTGCAGCCCAGAGGCTTCTGCGGTTTAACCCGCAGTGCCACCATGTCCCCTCAAATAAGAGAGAGATTGACTCAATATAGGAAGACATAGGCTCCAATCTGCAATAGTTGAGTAGGGCAGTTGAAGACAAGACCTTAAAAAGTCACTTATTCATCATACTGTAAGTCTGAAGTGACTTTGATAGCAGGAAACAAGAACTCCTCATCCTTCTTTAAAAATGAATTGGTTGGTTTCTGTTTCAGGAAAGCAGTTCAAGTGCACAGTTTGTGATTATACTGCTGCCCAAAAGCCACAGCTTTTACGGCACATGGAGCAACATGCTTCATTCAAGGTAAGAAGGCTGCTGCTAGTATGACCCGATTTTATGCACTGTTGTGTTGCTCAAATAGTTCTTGTTAATGAGGTACATTGACTGCTGTACTACTATAACTGTTGTTGCGCGATCATGATTTTGAACTGAAATAGACAAGGGGGCAGCTTCATAACTAGAAGGTGATTCAATTTTATTGCTCATCTACTCTGATTGCACAGTCAACATGCAAAGAATACCTATTGCTCCCATATGTTCCCCGTTGAGAATGGCTGGTCTACAGGATATCCTCTTGCGCTCACTGCCATTCGCACTTGTCGGAAAACAGCCCCAGCAATTGCTTTGTGTTTTCAGTCAGCTTCTGGGATTTTCCCTTGCTCGGTGTCACGTTTATTTTAGTAATTATTAAGCGCTCAAAAGATAGCAGAGCATTATCATTTAGAATCCATCCTACAACTTCCAAAACAAACTCATATGTCTCTTGTAATCCTAGCTTAGAAGTTTTAAAGCGCTGTATTTTTGCTTTGTTTTTGAGGCATTATATTCCTTCTGATCGTCATTCTTGTGGATGTGGAAGGACACAAACAAAGGTTGCCTGCAGACAATTCCAGTGGCTTTCAGCAAATGCACATTTAATGGTCAAGGTGAATTTCAGTGTCATCGGAGCCAATTAACAACACTGTGCTCTATTTAAATATCCAGGACGTGAAATACTCTGGGAGTTGGTGCAGGGTTGAGAATGGTGGCTTGTACTCTGGTGGGAAATGAGGCTTCTTGAAGAAGGGACAGAACGAATAGCTGCTCGAATGGCGTGACCTATCTTTGTTTTACAAAGCCTAGAGTGGTCTTAATTGACTAGATAGGCGGGATATAAATAAAATAAATAAATTTTACAATGAGACGTTGGCTAAAAAGGTAGAATTGAATATTTAGAACGGACGAACGAAGGAGAAAAACACAAAAAGAAGATGAGCCAGAACCACATTGTGTTTATAGTTCAGACAGACTGGGAAAGAGGTGAGAGAACAAGAAAGATGCATGGATGTTGGCAAGTCTTTGGGACTGAGTCCGGAGTCCAAGTTTGAGTCTTTGGGTACCAGATCCCCTGGTCTGAAGTCCCAAATCCCAATCCCAATTAAAAACAAGCTTTCCCCCACAGAAAAAAAGGGAGGATGTGGCTAGAGTTCAAGTCACTGGGGATTTAAGTCCTACTTGACAGAACGTCCTGTGACTTGACTCCCCACCCCTGGAAAGATGAACTGTCTTCTTGTTCCCAACTGTCTTCTTGGACATCATCATAGCTATTTTGGCAGTAGATGTAATAGCTCTAAACAGGGGTGCTGTGTTATCTCCAACTAATCTCCTTGCATTCTTCAGCCCATAAGTTCTTCTTCCTGCACTTCTTTTCTCATTTTTTTCTTTAAATGATCAGGTATACCAGTCTGTACTTTTGTTTTCTCACTCACACTGTAAATATAATAACAATCTAATAATAATAATATTTATTTATGTTACGCTGTATACCAAAGCTCACGCCAATTGCCAAAAAACCAGTTAAAATTACAACCATAACATAATTACAATGATAAAAACATAGAGTAGGCAATTATCATTCCATAAGGCAATAAACAAACAATCAAAATAGCTATCATGACAGTATAATAATTAAAGTACGGTAATGGTCAACCCCTATGGTTCCAGGTTGAACAAGTAGGTTTTTAAGTCTCGTTTGAAATTGTCCAACTCTGGTTCCACCCAAAAGTATTGCGGAAGGGAATTCCATAATTTTGGGGCCAGATGAGAAAATGCTGTAAGTCTGGAGTTAGCCACCCCTTTGGTCTGAGGGACTAGTAAGAGACCAGAATCCACAGATCGAGTCCTCCTATGAGGAACATGCCACCCCACAAGTTCCGCTAAATAACTAGGGCAAGATAAATGTAATGCTTTAAATGTCAGAACAAGAATCTTATAATATGTTCTTGATCTGATGGGTAACCAGTGCAGTACCTCTCCCTTTTTGCATTTTGTATGTTCTTTGATTTCTTGGTCTTTATTCATTCCCTTTAGTACTTCTTCATTGATTATTCTCTCAATCCAAGAAATCCATAGCGTTCCGAAATAAATCTACATTTTAAATGCTGCTATATATATATTTATTATAGCATTTGTTAAAGTCTACAATTTCATAATATAGTATTCACATACAGTAGGAAATGGCCTTGACCTGTCACAAATGATAAATTGAACCACTGAAGATAAATTGTTTCTAAGGATTTTGTGAACCCAAGAACATATTTACATCATATTTACATTTTTTGCATTCCGAGTTCATTTGGGACCCCTTCCTTGCATCCATTTTCACATATTTATTTTATAAATATGTTTCTCATTTTTTTTTCAGCTAGAGTCCCCATAGCATCTTGCAACATTCATAAAATATAGTATTATAAATAATGGATACTTGGTTTGATTTTGTACGCTTCACTTTATTCCAAATGTAATAGAAAAAGATTGCCTTTCCGAATGACTGCTGTTTTATATTGACACATATAAAAAGTCCTGAGATAAGATTCCATAAAACTCAAATAATATTCAGAAGAAAATAAAATGAGGAAGAGATGGAGAGTCCAAATGGATTATGATTGGCAACAGTTATTAAGGCTTTGTCCCACGTATCAGCATGAGGAGCTTCTACTCCACAAGCCTGAAATTGTCTGGTTAGTAGCCTCTCTACCTTTCTTGTCGGGTAGCATCTCCAGTGGGACAGAAGGAATCCTTGAGGACAGATGAGAGTCATTTCATGCTACTGATCAGAGATAAGAGCTCTACCTGATCACAGATAAGAGCTTATTTTTGCTTTGCCTGGATCGGCTGTACTTACACGAGTTAGCATGGTCACTGGTTTCCCTGCCCCATTATGCTGGGTAGAAGATTCTTGAAGTTGTCATGCATAAATGTCTGCCTCCACTATAGTTTAGTAAAAATCAGGAAAAGGCCGTGTGGTCCCCCAAACCAGTGGGCCAATAAAGGTATCGCCTGTTCCTGCATTTGCGTGGCCTTTACTATAATGTAACAGATTTGTTTCCCTCAATGCACCTGGGTCCTCATTTGGTTTTTGGTTAAACTGCCTCCTGAGTACCATACAGGAAGCAGTGAGCTGCCAGATAGGATCCATTTTATTTTATTTCCTTTTATTTATGGCACGATATTTCATTGAATCACTGCTTCCTCTCCTCCTCCTCAGCTTCCCCTTCCTGTTCCGGCTCACGGAGAGTTCTTTGAAATATTAAGGGGTTTTATGTTCTTAGAACAGCCCCAAAAAGTGACTTCCAGAATGGTTGGCAGAACCGATGTGAACCTAAGAAAATGGGATTTTCACACCAACTTAGCTGTTTTTGAGGGCTGAGGAAAAACTCGTACCCCATTCAGTTGTAATTTTTTTCCTGTGGAAACTCACACAATGAGGGGAGGATTCTCAGTGTGTCCCTCCTGTTGTTACTCCTGCCACAGGCAGTGTGTTGGAAGAGCAGCTTCAGCTGTTCACGGGGATGCGCCACATGAATGGGAACCCTAGAAAGTCAGAGTCCAGGATCACACGGAGAGTGGTCATAGATAGTGGTACACTCTCTGTTCAGAGTCATCCCCCCTCCACATGTAGGAGGGAAAGGAGACTAGGGATGGAGAGGGACTAGAGTGCTCCTCTTCTCTGGATAGCTCAGCGAGTTTGATATCTGCCTGAGGAGCCAGAGAAAGGGAGTTCAATTCCCCCTTGGGCTTCCCAGGAGAAGAGCCAGCCTGTGTAGCCTTGGGCAAGCTTCACAGTCCCGGTGTATCCTCAGAAGAAGGGAACTTTATGCCGTTTCTGTGTACTCTGTGTCTTGAAACCCCTGAAAAGAGTCACCATGTTGAAATTGACTTGACATCAAAGGATAATACAGTGGGGTCTCGACTTACGAAATCAAATGATACAATGGGGTCTCTACTTAAGAACTTAATCCGTATTGGAAGGTAGTTCTCAAGTGGAAATGTTCTTATGTAGAATCTGCATTTCCCATAGGAATGCACTGAAAACCATTTAATCCGTATCTGCTCTTTTCGTCCATAGAAACTAATGGGAAGCTGCTATTCCGCCTTCTGCCACTAGAGGGGGATATTTTTTCTTTTTTCCTTTTAACCTAAGATGACTTAGCTTTAAAAAAAGGGGAAAAAAGAGTTTGTAACTCGAATCTAAGTTCGTAAGTCGAGTCCATATATTCCTATGAGAGCGGTTCGTAAGTCGAAACGTTCGTATGTCGAGCCGTTCGTAAGTCGAGACCCCACTGTAATTAGTATTTTGCATAGTTTCTAATGGTCTGAATAAGGGTTTGACCTTTTAAAAAACTATCATTGGTGCCTAAGAGTCTCTAAAAGCCCAGTTGCGGCAGAAGGAAGGAAAGCTTTTTTCCAAGCACGTGGTGTTGTGACTGTTACATACAACACTGATGTTACCTGTCTGTCATGGGTTTGGAGGGAAAGTTCCATCCTATGGGGAGTGGAAGGCGGGACATCAGGAGGAGGGGCTGTACTGTATATATATATGTGGAGCGTGTGTGAGAAGAGGGGAGACGAAGCAGCAGCTGGGAAGAAGAAGCTGGTGTGGGAGTCTGTGTGTCAGACAGGGTACTACTGTGTGTCAGTCAGTACCAACCTGATAGGTTCAGGTGTCTGTATGGTTAGCCAGAACTGATAGGTTCAGGGTCTGTGCTTCAAGTTAAGTGTTCTGTGTGAACCAAACTGTATGCATGTATGAATGAGACTAAGCCACGTTACTATATCTTATTCACCATGACTATTTAGGTGAGTGTGATTCTGTGTAGAGGACAGCTGGGGAAATGTTTTGTGCATTTCTCTGCCTGGGTGTTGTGTCTGTTTGTGAATGGGCATGCATGAATGGGATCTAGGTATTCATGTCGTTATTGCCTTCGTTGGTAATGCAGGGTTCCACCCGCTGTTGATATGGGCCACCCAATGTGTTTGCCCAA